AGGGTCACACACTCATAAATGCACACATGGACACATACATGCTCCCACACGCAGCCCCAGCCGGCCAGAGCCCCTGCTTCCAGGGCACGAGGGCGCCGAGGAGAGGTGCTGTGGGCCTGCTGCGTCCTCTTGGCTTTCAGCTGCCCGCAGGGCTCCAACCTAGCAGCAGAGTGGTTTGTCGGGCCCCAGAACAGTAGTGAAGGCCTGGGTCACCCTGGGGGTGGCACAAGAACTGCCTGGGGCTTCAGAAAATCCAGACTCAGAAATGGGAGCTCCTCGTGGGCCAGCATCAGGATCTGAGGTGGGTGGGCTTCAGGAGCCGGGTCTGATGTGGCACTGACAGCACGTCCTGCCTTCTAGCAAGGTCCCAGGCGGCAGGCACCAAGCACCAGGACCAGGAGCCTGTGTGCGGCTGGGGGTCTCCTGCCCGAGGCTGTCCTGTGCTGACCTGCACAGAGGCCTCCAGGCTCAGAATCCACCCAAGCAGGCCCTGACACTCGCTCCCTCGGCAAATGACCGCAGGGCCTGGACGCTCCTCCCCAGCCTTCCCAGGCAGGTTCCCTTTCATTCCCGCCCGCGTCCCAGCCCCTCTGCCCCAGCCTGTGGCAGGACTGCCACCCAAGCCTGGAGCTGACCTGGCCGAAGCAGAGTCAGCAGCTGTGGCCGCACAGCTCATGGAAGAAGGAGCCAGCACATGGGTGAATGGACGAGCAGGCTCTGCCACCAGCACTCACTCTGCGGCCGAGGAGCCTCCATCCCACGGTGCATCTTACTCCAGACCGTGGGGCTCCCACAGCTCCTGCACCAAGATGCCGCAGAGCTGCCCCGCAGGGTGCGGAGGGCATCCGGGCCTGTCTGCAGCGACAGCAACGTGCAGACCCCACCATCTCCTCTGCTGGAGCTGGAGAACAGGCAAACCACCCACGAACTCCCGGACTCCCAACCGTCTCGGGTTCCAACATCCGCCTGACGAAAGGCCGGGGAAGTGGCACCAGAAGCCGCTGGGCGGGAAGGGGGTGGGCCTGCCTGCTGTGCCTGGGCCTGTGCCCCCACATCCCACATGACAGCCTCCCCCGGCCTCCACTCTGCAAGGAAGTGACAGAAACTTGACAGAATCCAGAGGGCCTAGGAACCTTGGTCCTGCAGGACTGTGCAGCCCAAGGGGCGGCCCGCACTGCCCACCTAGTCCTGTATCCCTTCCGGGTTCTCCACTCCAGTTCCCTGGGCAGGGCTGCCTCCTGGCTCTCAGAGATTTTACAGCTGGCCGTAGATGTTAGACGGTGCTAACTGGTTGGGCACCGTGGTTCATGCCTGTAATCCCAACACTCTGGGAAGCCATGGTGACAGGATCACTTGAGCCCAGGAGTTCAAGGCCAGCCTGGGCAACACAGCGAGAGCTGGGCGTGGTGGTGTGCACCTGTGGTTCCAGCTGCTTGGGAGGCTGAGGTGGGACGATCGACTGGAGTCAGGGAAGTTGAGGCTGCAGTGAGCTGTGATTGTGCCACTGCGTTCCAGCCTGGGTGATGGAGCAAGACCCTGTCTCCAAAAAAAAAAACAATAATAAAAGTTGGCTGGGGCCAGGCGTGGTGGCTCACGCCTGCAATCCCAGTACTTTGGGAGGCCGAGGCAGGTGGATCACCTGAGGTCAGGAGTTTGCGGCCAGCCTGGCCAACATAGTGAAACCCCATCTCTACTAAAAATACAAACATTAGCCTGGCATGGTGACAGGCACCTGTAGTCCCAGCTACTTGGGAGGCTGAGGCAGGAGAATCTCTTGAACTTGAGAGGTAGAGTTTGCAGTGAGCCGAGATCAAGCCACTGCACTCCAACCTGGGGGATAGAGTGAGCCTCTGTCTCCAAAAAATAAATAAAATAAAAATAAAAGGTGCTAAGTGCACACTCATGCTCATAGATCCATCAGTGGGTGAACAGATACACAAAACATGGCTTATCCACACAGTATTTTATTCAGCCTTAAAAATGAGAAAAATGCTGACACTTGCTGCAAAACGAACAAAACCGGAGGACGCTGTGCTGAGTGAAATAAGCCAGACGCAGGCAAACCCAGCAGCCCTCCACTCGCACTGGTCCCCAGAGCAGCCACACTTCAAGTCGAGACACAAAGTGGAATGGGGCTGCCGGGGCTGGGGGAGAGCAACGGGGAGCCAGCGTTTAATGAGCACAGAGCTTCGGTTTGGGAAGATGAGAAAGTTCTGAAGGCGGAGGGTGGCGGTGGCTGCACAACACAAATGTACCTAATGCCACAGAACCGTGCATTTAAAAATGGCTAAAATGGTGAATTTTATGTTATGTGGATGTAGGCAAGAGGAGGAGGAGAGAGAGAGGAATTCATTCACAATGCACGGACCCCATCTCTGAACTCAGCCGCAGGTAGTTTCCTGGGCGTGGCTTCCCGGTCTCCAGACAGCAACTGCCAGGCTTCTGGAAGCCCCTCCTCCCCCGAGACCCCCCAGCGGCGTCCAGCAGGGCCGTCCCTAAGCCTCTGTGGGGGTGATGCTCTGGGCTGTACCCATGGTGCCACAGGGCTAGGGCTGACCGAAACTGATGGTGCCACAGAGCTAGGGCTGACCGAAACTGACGGTGCCAGAGCTAGGGCTGACCGAAACTGATGGTACCACAGGGTTAGGGCTGACCGAAACTGCCGGTGCCACAGGGCTAGGGCTGACCGAAACTGACGGTGCCACAGGGCTAGGGCTGACCGAAACTGACGGTGCCACAGGGCTAGGGCTGACGGAAACTGATGGTGCCACAGGGCTAGGGCTGACCGAAACTGATGGTGCCACAGGGCTAGGGCTGACAGAAACTGGGGAGATTGTAGGGGAACATTTGTGCTCAAGTGCAAAATTCCACCTTGTCTTTCCACAGCACACCTGGGCTGTCTGACTCCATGGGGGCCCCACATCTTGGGAAAGCTGGGTGGACAGCTGATAGCAGGGCACATCGCTGTCATCTGAGACACTCAGGACCCCTGCCGGCAAAGGAACCCCAAAACCCAGCCTGGCTCTGCTGGCACACTCATTTCAACACTCCCAGCCTACGAGTCTGTTCCTGGGGTTCGCCTTTGACCTGGTTCCAACGTGTCACAGGTTTCCTCAAGAATTAGTTATCAAAAGTCTTTAACATGGTGTTCACTCTTAAAAAACAAAGGTGTTAAATAAAGCAACAGTCTTCTTTTTGAATAGTTTAATAGTTGCTATTTAAATAAGGCTTTGGCGTGCTTTTCCACATTTTTAGGTTTTTTTCTTTACGTGTACACCTTGCAAGATGTATCATTAACTCATGAAACCACCAGCTCGTCAGGCAATGAAAAGGGAGGTAGAAAGAACGCCAGAGGCCGGGCGCGGTGGCTCATGCCTGTAATCCCAGCACTTTGGGAGGCCGAGGCGGGCGGATCACGCGGTCAGGAGAACAAGGCCATCCTGACTAACACTGCGAAATCCCGTCTCTACTAAAAAATACAAAACAAAATTAGCCGGGCGTAATGGCGGCGCCTGTAGTCCCAGCTACATGGGAGGCTGAGGCAGGATGAAGCAGGAGAATGGCGTGAACCCGGAGGCGGAGCTTGCAGTGAGCAGAGATGGCGCCACTCACTCCAGCCTGGGCGACAGAGCGAGACTTCGTCTAAAAAAAAAAAAAGAAAGAGAAAGGAGAGAGAGAGAGAGA